AAGCAGTGGAAGTGGTTGTAATGGGGCAAAATGTAAGCTTGCGACATTAACTATTTTAGAAAAGCTGTCTATACGGTTTTTAGAAATTACGACCGTAATACTGTAGTATATTTTATGCATTATTTTGCCTTTTTTTTTACCTCGGCCTCGATGGTTTGGAACTTTCGCTAATCTGGAACCGATCTGGACCCAAGCTTCCAGGATTAGCGAGGTCCAACCTGTACTGTACATGAAAATACATTTGACATAAATAAAATTACCCTGCAGTTAACTTATCCAGTAAGTATACAGTACAGTCGACCCTGGTTAATTCGGACACCTTTAATCCGGATTTTGGATAAATCGGACGAAATCTGAACTGTCCATATCAAATTTCTGGTTCTGGGATTGTCCCAGTTGCAATTGGGGTTGCAATTTCAAATTCTGTGTCATTACTAAGAAATAAAGAAGTCACTGGTGTACTGCACTCTAAGATTAAGAGAAAACGGACAACTCAGGCATCCTGAAGTGAGAGAAAACGGACTCCTATGACGGGGCACTCAAATAAACATACACATAGCTGTATAATGCAATATTAACCCCTAAATCGGTTAATTCTGGCAATCGGCTAAAACGGACACCCTTCCCCCCCTATTAGTCCGTTTTAACGAGGATCGACTGTAATGTTATTGTCATCAGCATCCATAAGAATGCATGTGAATTACAAAGTCGCTGTTGCAACAGCTCACCAACTCATTATTTGAGTTGGATTTTTTTTTCAGTGAAAAGTAAAAGCAAACAGAATGATTATTGGCCAAGTGCAATTCATCACACCCTCTATACATTAAAAAACACATTCTGAGACTTCCTATGTTTAAACTAGCTGGTACAGTATATACGGCACTGTATATGTTGTATCACTAATACTGTAGTGATATCTCCGTTAGCCGGGTAACGGAAAAAATTTCTGGGAAGTTCCAGAAATTTCCCATTACATTATCTCTCAAACTTGGAAAATTATCTCTCATCCCCGGAATTTTCCGGAAATGGGGAAAAATTTCTTGGAATTTTCCTGAAAATCATCCCCAAAGCCGAAATGATCCGGAAAATTCCGGCTTGGGGAATGATTTTCCGAGAAAATTTCAATTCCGGCTTTCGGACAGTTCCGGGTTTGAGGGATTTCGGCTAAAGGAGATATTACTGAATTACATACCTTAAATTGGGATTATACCGACACACGAACAAAGATCTCACTTTTGAAGACTGCTATGATTTATTTAATTGATATGGCATTATGGTTAACTTGATATTCCATCTGTAGAAATTATACTAAAAAAAAAACAAAAACAAAAAAAACAATTATTTTACAGTATTAACATCATAACTGTTTTATACCATTTTCCGCGCTGAGTGGGTTAGGTGGAATTATGTGGGGGGGGGTTGTTGCCCCAAATCCATTCCAAGACCACTTAAAATGCAAACAAATTGACTAACAGCTTCATGAAACTGGTCACAGTAGCTTACTGAAGCAAAAAGTTTTGAATTAATTAACTAATATAAAAGCCTGCTGACAATTTAAGGTAGTTATTTCTAACTAATTAATAATTAACCTTGAAGATGGTCTGTTGTGACAATGTAAAGCATTAAGTCATCATCGCGGGCACAGGTTAATTCCCTATACTGTTACTCTTCTTACCCCTTCTAGTGGCTCCTCCACTCTGGCACTTCCTGTCTCTTGAATGTGGAGAAATCTGCATTTGTTGCCATTACGACACCCATTCAGGGTGCTGAATAATAAAATAGAGAATGATGTTACACATATTTTATTGGGTGGAGTACAACACTATACATTATAATTGCATAGAAATGTTTTGATACACAATACAGTACAATTGTCTTCAGTTCGTGTCTGTAGTGAAATTTTTTTATACAATATTATTTTATTATGCCCGTTTCCTTTTATAATACTTAATAATAAAATTTCACAAAATAAGCTATGAATAAAGTAACAATATACATATACAGTAAATAAAATACTTTACCCAAAATAACGGCATATCTTCGGGTTTATCTGGTTATCTGGTACATGTGATGCATCATGATAGAAGCGACATTTCTTTCCATACCAGCATCCTCCTGGAGCCTTGAAGTAACGACACACCTTTGGATAGATACGTATTTATTTAGTGAAGTCATCGTGTAAGTTTACAACTGCTTCAACATGTTGGTGGTAGTGGCAATGCATGTATCTCTCACCAATATGTCATGGGTTCATGACCTGCTTGGGCTGGACATGTATGAAAAGGGTGTTATCCAGTGTGACCCTACCAAACATCACAGGTTTAATACAGTACAGGTACTGTAAGCTGATAAGTGCTGGCATTCAGTTCAACATGTACAGTAAAGTATATACTGCAGACAATGCAAGTACTACAGGAATAACCAGCAAAGCTATCAGAAGCTTATTCCCAGGAGGGTGGTCCTTTGCTTAGGCTTGGTTACTAATTAGTACAGTACAGTCAGTCCTTGACTTACGACGGGACCAATGACCAGGCAGTAAGTCGAAAATAATACATAGAAAATCTAAAACGAGTGTTTCTTTTTCTTCTCAGCACCACGAGAACTCACACTTTTACGCTTGCCAGCCATTTTAAAGGGAATTACAAACGAAAAATTTGTCAGTACACAGTGTGACCACTAACATCGGACTTGAAAATACGTAACTTGAAAAATATTTTATACAACTGCGGCGGTTGTAAGTCGAGGAGTACCTACACTTTCCCGGATTCACGAAAATTCAAAGTTTATAGCTACAGAATTGGTCAGTTTTATTTACGAGAAAAAATTTCAAGTTACAATTATGTTGCTGCTTTGGATATTTTTTCCTTAGTAATAATTAAACTACAATAAAATAATAAACTATTTTTTTTACTAACAGTATGCTCAGTTATTACAACGTCATATTCCATCATTCTCCAACACTTGCAATGTTATTAACACTACAAATAAGCTTTCAATGTCATTTTTCTCTTACAATAACTTATTCCTCACTCATGGAAGTTTGAAGGGACTCGTCTCCACGAGCATTCACTCAGCTAGTTGCCAAATTGTTCAATGTCTGTTCGTATACACTCAAGTAATGCGTGGAAAATAAAAAATTCTCTTGATATACTTGTAGTTTTCTTTTCAAGAATTAAATAAACGGAGTACTGTAGTATATCCATTTAGTTACCGATTCAGAAATGATAAGCTTGGCATCACAGAAATCAACTATTAGCTACCAGCTTTCAATGCAGATAAATACGACCTACATGAACTCTCTGCCAACCATATATGCACAACTTTGTTGTCTGCTCTCTGGAATACTGTATGAAGTTTACTTTGTTTTGGTATGAAATGCCACTAAGGTTAAAACTCTGGTCTTGAATGACCTCACATTCAATACCGTCACAACACTCAAGCAAAATGTTGCAGTTTACTATTCTCACTGCAAAAAAGTTTGACCCGACTTTAAAAAAAAAAAAAAAAAAAAACCCGCTGACGAGTTATTAGTTTTACCGTTTATTTTCATACTTTATTTTCATCAGAGTTCCGATATGATAATCATTTCTTGTGCAAATGCTTCGTTTGGTAGTTAATTAGGAACCTAGGCACAATATTTTGTCTTCTCGGCGGTAATGACTCATCCCAGGACGAAAACAGCCAATCACATTGATGTATTTCAAAATGCTCCGCCACCTGGGCTTGATCAACATCGATGCTCAGTGTAAGAACTGTTCAGTATGGATGGCTGTTCTCAGGTCCACAAAAAGCTTAAAATTACACCATGTATTAAGTTCTTTCTGTTTAATATACAGAGGGGTCGGCCGGCTAGGAAGTTAGTTAGGATTGTTTGGTTAGGTTGGCGAGGTCTAACAACGCTTCTGCTGCTTGTTTTTCATATCAACTAAGGTTGGCTTATGTTTAATTTAGAAATAACCATTTTTTTTAACACATTTGTACAAACTATGGCAGTGTCCACTAAAAAAGTGAAATGGCAACTTTTCATAATCGTTTTCTATGAAAAATTGGGCACAGGTCAGTCGTCAATAATTACCCTTTATTCTATGCATTCAGAGCATGCTGAATCTGTAAGTCTAATTACAATAATAACATGGTCAAACCATACTCTCATATCTACAAAAAAAAAAAAAAATACACCGTTACTCCAATAAAGTTGCTGTCAATGGTACCAGGTCTCAAAGTAAGTACCGTACTTTCTGTTTAATATAGCAGGGAGTCGATGGGAAGGGGGGGGGGGTTTGAAGCCCCTGGCTAGGAAGTTAAGCCAGGTTAGGTTTCTGAGCATTGTTGCATCATTTTTATTACTTATTATCATCCAAAGAATATGTGGATAAAATGAACAAAATTGAACGTGTTCTGGTGTTAGCCATCTGCGGCTCCAGGATTACCAAATAAATTACTATTAAGTTTAAATAAAAAATAAGGTAGATTTTTACTTTAGGACACGAGTCCCTAGGGTTTGACCAATATGTTTTTCCCAGTGTATTTTGGTGTGTTTTAAACAATAATGGGGGAGAGCCTGGGAAATCTAGGTTTTTGGGTGAGTGAGAAAACGAGTCATCTAACCTAACACTAGCCCAGGGGTCCGACTAATTACCCAAATGTAGCCGCAATGAAGTCAAATAATAGTCCTACATGAATAAATCGGACTGCTAATCACTTCTCGACTAGTATTTGGTGTCACAAAGTCACAAAAAATTGGAAAACTTACTTTAATCTGAGTTAATAGATCGCGTGCATGTACCGAGGGAGCGAGTAATTACCCAAATGTAGCTGCAATGAATTCAAATAATGGTCCTACATGAATAAATCGGGCTGTGAATCACTTCTCGATTATTATTTGGTGTCATAAAGTCACAAAAAATTGGCAAACTTAATTTAATCTGAGTTGTGTTGTGTTAGGTTAGGTACATGCACACGAGCTATTAACCCAGATTAAATTAAGTTTACCAATTTTTTGTGACTTCGTGACACCAAATACTAGTCAAGGTAAGGTTAGGTTAGGTTAGGTACATGCACTCGATCTATTAACTCAGATTAAATACCAGTCGAGAAGTGATTGGCAGTCCGATTTATTCATGTAGGACCATTATTTGACTTCATTGCGGCTACATTTGGGTAATTAGTCGGACCCCTGGTAGGCCTAGTTTAAATTAATCTAAGTGTTTCAGTGGTTAAAAGACTTTGGGGCGCGCCATGTCCGATGTACAATACCTTAGTTAGAAGTGGAAGGACCAGGGATACATAAGAATTGGATAGAATGATCGTCTTTCTTATGAATCTCGGCAATAAACTTAAAATAATCATTGGAGCACAAATGACAACCAACCTCCACTACGGCCATTGTGAGACTGTTCAATGAAATTACCCAGGCTGCTTCCTTTGAAAAAAAAATACTGAACAAACGTTGAGAACCTTTGAGATGGAGGAGCCACCCTCAAGGAGAAGCATAAGACACCATCAAAATACAGTATACATTTAAAACAAAAACAAAAAGCTCATTAATCACTGCTAAAATTCATCAACACTGCCATATAATCCAAGTGTACAAATAAATATTTTTATTAAAGATGATATAATCAAGGCATGTAACTATTAAATCAGAAGCAAGTAACAGCAAATGATTTTAACCTGGTCAAACACTGATTGGGATTTAGATGGGTAAAACATGTCACCCAACACCATCATCAACCTGAACTACTTGGGAAATTTTCAGGTAATTATATAGGACTTAAATATGGTGAAATTTGAGGCATTTCTCAAAGTGAGATGACATGGCCGCTAGGCAGCCTGGCGGGTTAGTCCTATACATTAACCAATTTTAAATGTAAGTTGGTCAGATATGAGTACAGTAAGAACCCTTGGATGTAAACGGAGCTACCTAGTACTGTACAGCTCAATAAACGTCTTGTAATTTCCTTCATCAGGGGGCCATTATTTTTATCTACGTTGTGCTTGAGCACGTGTCTGCAGCTGTAGTGATGCAGGCGCCCTTTGGGGGGTCATAACACTTGTTGCCACTCGCCAACAAGTGAGGAAGAGCAGCAAATTGTGTATTCTGACAAGGTCGCCAAATATAGCGTTCCATCCGCTAATGATTTCCAGAAACGTGTTCCTTTCCTTCACAACCATCGAAAGCATGAAACCGTTATGAAGCCGACTATTTGACTGGGATTTTAGGACGTCAAAAGAAATTACACTTATAATACATGTATACATACTACTCATGCAAAAACAAACACAATGTATACAAGATCTCAAACAATGTCACCCTCCCAGAGATGAGTAGCAGAATAAGAAAGGGTGCACAACACCTACCTCCATGACTCCTAGTGCTGCTCTCCCTCCTCAGGATAGATCAGTAGCCACCTGCCGACCCTCAGCCCGCCACAGTTTAAAGCCAGGCCCACGTGGCTCCCTCTGTTGCCAGGCCGCCAGATTCTTCTAACTCTCCTCTAAATCCTTGTAATTTTGTGATTGAGCCCTTTAGTAAATTTGCTTCTAAGTAATTAGAAATGAATATAATAATTTATGTTATTAATTCCAAATGGCTTTAGTCACCAGGAACTACAACCACATCGCTGATGGGCTCGTTAGCCGCTTGGGCGATCGGTCACGTCTCTGTTGGCCAGTGATAATGACTGTGTACTACCTGTGTTACATGAAAATTATTTATATGAGTATATGAAATAATGTAATTTTTGAGCTCTTGGACAAATATATAAGGTAACTTTTCGTCCATTGGCTAGCCTCAGGTTTTGATACAAAAATATTTTTATTTTTGGTGTTTTCGAGTGTTTTCCTCAACCTTTAGTTTTACCTTTATCCTCTTCACTGATCGGCTCGTTAGTCGCTTGGCAAATACTGGCTCCTGAATGGATCTGAACATGCAAAGTATAGACATTCTGGAGGAACGTTTCTCAGTGGGTTTGATTTTTGGGGCTAAATTACAGCTATCTTGGGATCTTTAAATTTCGTGTTATAAGAACACAAAAATGGAGGAAATTGCAGTGGGCCTGTTGACCCATATTGGGGAGTTCCTTTTACACCCAACTCCTATCGCTCATATTATATCCATCCAAGAATACACCCCATTTCGCCACCAACCCGTTTCGTCACCAAACACCCGTTTCGTCTTTACTAACAGTCGCTGGTATTAGTAACAAATTGTAAGTTATTATTTTACACGAATATAAATAACACATGTATACAGACGACTCGAGAATTATTATGTTATTATTATATATGAATATTAATTATTTAATAAAGAAAACGATTAAAACATTGGTTAAATAAACAAAATACAAAACAAATGGAAGTGATTTGGCACCAGCGCATAAACCACCAAGCAACAAAGAGCCGTCTTGGTCTATACCTCCTTGTCCCTCTTCTTCACAGAGAAACCTCAATGGTTGATTTGCAATTACAACTAGTTGCTGAGCACAAGCTAAAATCGTGTACAAGAAAAGAAAATCATGACAAACCAGTCCATCTCTAGAAGCTGTGAGATGAATATGAAGAGAAAAATATTACTTCTAATTTCCTTAAAACAAGTGTATTAATGTTTTTAATTTTTTTTAAGTCTTTCACATATTGTTTAATGTTTTTATTTTATAATTTCGTCTTTAATAAATTGTCTTAGTGGTTTTTTATTATTTTCTATCCCAAGCAAGTTATTTTCGTGTATATATTGATGGGAATGAACGCGGTGACGAAATGGGCATACCACCATCCAATCTATGTTTGAAGCTATTCAGCTTATTCGAGTTAATGATGATGTTTGGTAACTTGTTCCATTCATCCACTACATTTTGAAATCAATGTTTACCTATCTCGTGCCTAAATCTAAATTTGTCTAATATAAAACCATCTCTTTAAGTAAATGACATGGCAAAGTGTTAAATACAACTTTTATTGTTACATTACCTTCTAAATTGGATTCATGAGAGCAACAGTTAATATACAACAAATGTGCCCCATTTCTTGGGAAGACTGTAGCAATTTTTATTTATTTTTTTATTTATTGGGCACTCCCCTACATCCTTGTGTAAGGTGAAGCGCAGAAGCGTTTACAGTGCCCAACAGGGAAGCATGCTAAGTTCATGGTTGCCTTTATGTCTCATGAGTTAAGGGCATAGAAGCCTGAAGAGTCAAGGGCATAGAAGCCTGAAGAGTCAAGGGCATAGAAGCCTGAAGAGTCAATGGTTTGTGTCATCAAGTTATTGGAAGCTCCAACAACTGCTAGGTGAACAGGGACTAATGGGGGCTAGGAAGTGTGTCCAAACAACTTCCACCAGCCCGGGAATCGAACCCGTGACATCTCGCTTGCGAAGGCAGGAGCGGTACCACTCTACCACCAGCACCCGACTGTAGCAATATTATTTCGATCAATACTGAAATAAAAAAGTGTAGTACATTAAATGATTTTAATGAGGTGTAAAACTACACTCATCTCTACTGTAACATCTGTGAAACAGTGAGGGACAGCTCTCAGCACTTGCTTATCTGGAGAATTGTAAATATTACAATATAATGTATTATAATGAAAACAAATGGCAATGTTTAGAAAATATTTTGTTACAGTATAATAAAATCCACTGCTTCTCAATGGAGGCTCAATGAAGCCTGTTTTTAGTTCTCATAAGAGCACTCTGTTTATTCGTTTGTTGTGGTACTCTACCTTGGTACAAAGTTTCAAAGACCAAATGCAAACTATTCAAAACAAGATGTTCTTTTTCTTGGGTAAGGATGCACGAGATCATATCAGTCACGATGTCCTGAAATGACATATTGTGAAGCAAAGGTCATTAACTTTTTCAAAATTGTAAAAAAAATTGTCCAGAACATTGTATCTAGCTTCAAACTTTGTAATGACCACATTAATGTCTGCTCTGTCATGTATACAATAATTCTTGTAATTTTATCTTGCTACCATTAATGTTTCACCTTGTAACTTCCAATCTATTCTGGTATTCATTGTTTGAGCACTATTACAGGACTGTACAATCATTGCTACCCACAATAACTCACTAAGTATCTCATTAGTATTCTCCAGTACTGTACATACAAAAATCAAGGCTAAATCCACCCTCAACTTGCTCTAATTATAATCAACTCCTGAGATTCTACATCAAAGAACTAAAAATGCGACCCATGACTTTTTTAAAGTTCTGAAATTTCTAAAATGCCAATCCTTGTTAGGTTAATAAAACTGTTTTATATTTTAATATTATAAAACATGTAATTGAAAATAAATAAACAATAATAAATTATGATTGTGTACAAAAGGCACTGGGATCACAGAACACAGTTATTGTCAAGTGATGTTTCTGTTAACTTTTTAACTCACTTGTTCTCAACTCTCACATCATCCCATACTTAGGGTTTTCATCACATGTTTTTTACAAGGACCAGACAGGAAACAGAGGTCCATGGCAAACATTATAACTCATTAAACAAGAGATAAACTAGAATGACCAAACAATAAAATGAACACAAATGCAGTATATTTAAAGATTAACTAAGGTCAGATTAATTATGTTTTTTTTAAATCAGATAAATTAATATGTTACAAAACAATTTGCATCAGCTTAGATGTTACCTGAATTGATCACTTTAGATGAGAGGAAATTTATAATGAAAACCGTGCATTCTACAGTCTGCCGTGGATGCATCGGATTAATAATATGATGCTCAGTAAAATCTTTATAGAAAAATATTTTCAACTGGAGCATTATAACTGATCACACATCAGCATGAATGGCTAAAATGAATACCAGGCATTAATACTATTTACCATATACTGTACAGTACAGTAGTCCTACAAGCTCATCATTAAGAACTGTGACTCATGTCTTAATGAATGATCTTGTATGGAGATTAATGACCAGAACTTTAATTACCAAAAGATTCGCTTTACTACAGTACTGTACTACATACAATACAAATTTTGTAAATACTGTATTGAGACTATCTCAAAACTAAATGCAATAGAGATTCATGAGGCTCGTGCATTTACTGACTTGATTCAGTGGTAAGAAACCACAGATGGTAATACAGTACAGTCTAGTACAATCAAACATTCATCAAAGATCAAGAGGTATAATGACTCACTTCCCACCATTGCAAGTCTAATTATTACAACCTACTGTACTATGGAATAAACCCTATATTTTAAAAGTACAGTATAGTACAGACAAAGTGGTAAACTCCTTTTCTTGGGCTACTGAGTTATGAATTACAGGTATGATAAGCATGTGAACGATTTGTCTGAAATATTCTTTTTGTAATGTCAACTGATTTGCTGTGTGTGTCATACATACATTCTACAACTACTGTAGTTCAAAAGATGTCAATAACATTACCAATTATTCAACACAGTACAGTATTGTACATTATATCATATATTTTCCATCAAATAAGACCCAAGAACTCATTACCTTTGAACAATTTGAAATTAATATTACAAACCACCTGTTAAAAATTGTATACATATCAAACAATCGTTGACACACACGCACACATGCATGCATGTGCGCACACACACACACAAAAGAGAATAAAATCTGCATTACCACAATATTTGCTTTGTATATCTTCAATGCACCAGCCTAAACAATGTTTCTTTGTTGCACAAACTCATTCTTACACTTTTCACTAATATTATACAAGTATGTGGCAGTTTAATTTAATTTCTGGTGTTTACATGACAAAATAGTATGTAATCCTGCAAAAATCAACCACTATCTATATCTAAAAATGTTTGAACAACTGCTGTCTCTATAGGAGGAAAATGCAACTTCACTTTGATAAGATTTTGAACACAATTCAGGTAGTCCCCGACTTACGACCACATGGACTTACGTCCATTGGTACTTACGACCTGCTCTGACCGTACGTCCGTCGTGACCAAAAATATTTTCAAATGACGTGCGCATTTTCTATTCCGAAACGTTTCAGTCCCGGGCGAGAGGGTGGCGCATCTCGGGTCGCCTCATGGGTACACTCACTCAGTGGAGCGCTTAGTTGGTGTTTGGCTATCATATTTTATACTGATCGCGCTGTGAACTTTCGTTATTATCGTATTTAATTGACTTTATAATGACTGGAAAGCGTAAAAGTGAGAGTGTTGGTGGTGTTCCAAAGAAAAGGAGACAGGCAATTATTTTGAGAGGAAAATGAAGATAATAAAACAGCATGAGAATGGAAAAACAGTAGCAACAATCTCACGCGACCTAGGTTTCTCACACTCGACTATATCCACTATTCTGAAGGACAAGGAACGTATTCGTGAAGTAGTGAAAGGAACAACACCTATAAAGGGAACTATAATATCAAAGAGAAGACAAGGTCCTATTCACGATATGGAAAAATTATTGGTGATATGGATAGAAGACCAGATACAGAAGCGTGTACCCTTAAGCCTTCTAACCACACAGGCTAAAGCAAGAAGCCTGTTCCAAAGCCTGAAGGAGCAGGCAGGAGATGAATGTGATCAAACCTTTACAGGAAGTCATGGGTGGTTTGATAGATTTAAAAAACGCTACAATCTACACAATGTTAAGGTGAGTGGAGAGGCAGCTAGTGCCGATGTTGGTGCTGCCGAAGCTTTTAAGGAGGAGTTAGATGATGTGATTGTTGAAGGGAATTATTTGCCTGAGCAAATATTCAATGTGGATGAGACTGGGTTATTGTGGAAGCGCATGCCTGAACGGACATACATCCACAAAGAGGCGAAAACAATGCCAGGATTCAAGGCATTCAAGGACAGAATTACACTTCTGTTGGGGGGGAATGTTGCTGGTTTCAAGCTAAAGCCTTTCATGATCTATCATTCAGAGAACCCCAAGGCTTTTAAACATGTCAGCAAGCACACACTGCCAGTGTTTTATCGCAGTAATAAGAGAGTCTGGATGACCCTAGTACTGTTTGAGGATTGGTTCATGACTTGTTTCATTCCACGAGCCAAGGAGTATTGTCTGCAACAACAGATTCCATTCAAGATTTTACTGATTTTTGATAATGCTCCAGGACACCCACCACACCTGGACGACATGCACCCTGATGTTAAGGTAGTGCACATTCCACCTAACACTACCTTTATCATCCAACCCATGGATCAAAGTGCTATTGCTGCCTTTAAAGCGTATTATTTACGCACGACCTTCGCTCAGACTGTTGCTGCTACTGAAGGTGAGAAAACGCTCAGAGAGTTTTGGAAGGAGTACAACATTTTGTCATGTATAAAGAACATTAGTGCAGCATGGGATCAGGTTACAAAACATTGCATGAATGGAATATGGAAGAAAATCCTGAAAAGATATGTGAACAGTTTCAAAGGATTTAATGAAAATGAAGTTATTTCGGATATTAGTAACAAGATAGTGGGGTTAGGTAAACAGCTGGAGTTAGAAATTGACAGTTGGTTGAAAGTGTAGCAGAAGAACTCTGTAACGAGGATCTTATTGAACTAGATGCACAGAAAATTGCAGAGGAAGAAGAGAGACAAAATGTAGAAGAAGAACTTGCACCCCCAAAAAGTTTTCAGCGAAACAAATGGCAGAGGCATTTGCTACAATTAATAAAGCAATGCAAATGTTTGATGGCATGGATCAAAATTATGAGCGTTATGCCAAAGTTGACAGAATGATCCAAGATGCACTTGCTTGCTACAGGGAAATTTATAATGAAAAGAAAAAGCAAACTGTGCAGTCTAAATTGGACATCTATTTCAAGAAGTCCCCCAGTGCTGTCTCCTCACGCCCCACCAGTGCTGCCTCTTCACTCCCTGAAGATGATCCAATACCTTCAACCAGCAAGTTTCCACAGCACATAAACCTGTCTGAAGAAAGCGACATTGATGACCCACCCAGCCCTGTCTCCTCTTCCGCTTCTTCCAATTAATATACTGTAGTCCCCATGTATCCTGTAAATAGAAAATTATGGGGGCCTTGTGTGCATTCAGCTGACTACATTTAAGGTAAGTGCTCAGTCACACTGTATCCATTCCTCATTATTTATTACTTTTACTGTACTGTATCCATTTCTCATTATTTATTACGTTTAGTGTACTGTATTTCATTGTAGATTTTAAATTTTTTTTTTTTTTAAATATTTCAATTTTTTTTATTCATTTTTTTATCTATGTCGGACTTACGACCTGGATTTGGGTCCCTAACCCCGTCGTAAGTCGGGGAGCACCTGTATACAAAATAGCACTTCTCGGAATAAGAGTCAATACATGTTTACATTCACATGGACACAGCTATAATTTCTTAATGATATATCCAATGCAATAGTTTCTGAAACTTGTTATAATGAAAACAAACCACTGGAAATGACCTGGAGATAAAAATGTCTAAATCTAACACTAAATTGAAAAATAATGTACCACTCTTGAACAGTGACAACAGAATTGAGGTTGTGGGTTCCAGACCAGTCGGTTCAAGATAATAAATAAGACAGTAAAGGGTCATTATGGAATCACTATGCGAGCCAAATTTTGTTTCACTAAGGTTTCATTACAACATTCTCCTCAGTACAATATTATCACTGAAGAAGATTGTATTGTACTGAAATATCATGAGAATTAAAATTTGGCTCTGAATTAGTGCTTCCATAACCAGCCCTACAACATCCAATATATGTGTTCAATACTGTTTTTTTTTATTTAGGTACCTCAACTGCTAAGGGTTGTGAAGCACTTTTGATGAAGTGTTTAAGAAAATCCTATTACTGTAGTTACAAATGCCCAGACTCCCAAAACTTCAAGTTCAGCTGCCAAATATAAACATGAAAAACATAACAACCTGTCATATATATATATATATACAAGTGACAGAATCATAATACGTGTCATAATATCCAATCATAGTGTCTCACCAGCAAATGTAGTACTGTATATAACCTTTAGAAAGATTTAATTCAGAACTGTAGCACATGATATACATAATATTTCTACACAAAAATAAACACAGTTGTCTATTAAGAGATACAGTATATAGTTCTATAAACCTCATTCTAGGCTATATTTCTGGATGCACAGTCAATCCTACACCTGCCTTTTATGACTGACTTACTGGTAAACTTTTTCTGAGGAGTGAAAGCATTTACCTAGTTCTCCCTGCCAGCCTCCTGTCCTAGTTTGTTTTCTCCTGGCCAACATAATAACACTACATAGCCAATGAGAAATTCAAAGGTTCATCATGTTCTATATCAAGGCAGCCAATCCTACACACAAACAGTGTCGTGTTCATACTAAAAAATGCCCATTTAGTACCTACACCCGCATACTTTTAGGATATGGCATTCACAGGTCATTACGGAAAGTCACTTGTTAAGCATTCATTGGGTAAAACAGTTTTGAAAAATGAGAAGCAAAAATCTGTTGTGTAGTGACAAAAGAATTTCAAACTCTGCTATACTTGTATAATGTCACATTTGCTTCACACTATGGAACTACTGAGCCACCAAATGCAATGTGAGACTATTTATTTTACCCCTGACATTGGAGATAAACTTGACTGGAGGCTAAATAAAAAACCACATAAGACCATCTCAACTCACTGTCATCTACTCCATCAGATTCAGCAGGTGATGTATCATAGCAACACAAATAAAGACAAACAATAGAGAAATTGATCAAAACAAAGAATCGACTTGAATGAAATTTTCATCTCTTTCCTAAACAAATAGAGAAACTTAAATAAAATTTCCATATGCTTCTTTTCTCATTACTAGTGAAAAAACCCTTTCATATCAGAAACAATTGGCTAATCTGTTGGTGGCAGTACTGAGCTCTTATGTTAACCATTACAAGTAAACATCCTAACCCACTTAACTGCCTATGACTTCGAATCACTCATATATTTTTCACTCTGAGAGCAGAATTATAGCAGCAAACACAGATTCTTCCTTCATTTACTGTCATTCACTTTGTCACAGTGCCATAACAGTTTTGCTCTGCTTCCACAACAACACACCCGAGACATCCAATCCGTTCCCTCACACAACCCAGTTTCACCGACCCATAATAATACATTTAATACAAATCAAATACTAAATGAAGGAGCGTACTAGCCTAAGTCCCAATCCCCTTCCTCATTAAATATGACTACTAAAACCTCACAAACCAACCCCGTAAACTTTTGGTGCGTTTATGTGCCAAGGTGCACTCCCAAGTTACTGTGTCATCATATATGTTTCAGACACATGGGTTCTTTGGTTTAAAAAATACTAAATAACCCAATAACCTAAAACCTACTGTACTGCATTTGTTTTCTATAACCAAGATCAAGAAACAATTTATATAAGTTTTAATTAAAAATGTACCAGAAATAAATTTAGAAAATAAATCATAAAATTTCAGTTTCCGCACGTTTAAAATAAATTGATTACATGAGTGAACAACTCAAAATCTATTTAAAAATAGTGACTGTGTTACTAATATATACCTGTAGTGTACACAGAACATGAAAATACAGTAGGACACAATATAATCTGACCAGACAAATGAACTTCCTTATTCTGAACAGTGTACATGCACAGTACTGTACTGTATATTACAGTCTCAGATGATGCACTGGACTTGTCTCTTGAATCTCACTGGCCAGCGTCACTGAACTCACACACTTGTATTTATCACTACAGAAGAACATTTATATATAAAATCATTCAATACTGTATAACACATACAAATAAAAGTACACCATTCATCATCATCGTCAACAACAACATTTTATGGCCATTTTCCACACCTGCTTGGTTTGCCATGATTACCTGATGGCAGCTGTTGGATAAAACCAGAATGGGATGTCCCCCCACCCAGCTCACCCAGGACACCAACCCAGGAAAGACCAAGGATGGGCACAGCTCTGGTGACCCAGCTGCCATCAAGCATGTTGAAGCAAAGTTTTATGGCTGGATGCCTTCCTAATGCCAACTAACACCATTACAATGTGTATTTTATCTTTCTCAAAATTAATTATTTTATATAAATACTATACATATATGATTACAGACTTGCAAACAAAATAGCACACATTTGGATCTATAGGTTATGTTTTTAGTCTGAAGGTGCAGCAAAATCCTAAAAAGAAAACAATTACTTTTTTCTGGAATGTTTAAAACTTTTACGACCAATATTCTCCATAAAAACCCTATCTAATATTCAGCAATCCCTAAATACCAATTTTATTTACTTATAATCTAAGGATTTTTAAAGAATAGTATCAGACTACATAAATTTACAAATGATGGTATTCTATATATCTAACAACATCAGTCACCTAGATAAACTATATTGACTGAAATTATCACTTATATATATTACTAAACATACAGTAATCATCAAAACAGGGGAGCACCATGGGCATGTACTAAAAACAAAACAAAAAAACTCTCCACTATTAAAAGTATGTCCCCCAAATGACATATACAGTAATTCCAATGCTTAGGCTAAGAAGAACCGAAGAGAAATATTTCCTTTAAATAAGTTAATGCTATCACTAAAAAATAAAAAGACACCAACTACAAATGAAGAATTACACTTTTCACAGATACTGTAGCTCGTAGTCGGAAAGCACCAAGTGGTTTTTCATTTCACTTGAAAAATGTGCACTTAAGATGAACTATATACTGTGTTGCCAGTGTGCATTAACATGATGGCTCAGACTTGCAGTAACCAAGAGGTCAAAATCTATAGTCCAATACCAGTTATCAAAGAAATCAACACTGTTAGTAAATATTTAAACTAGATTTTGTATACTGATCAATTTCAGTCAACTTCATTGTTGAACTGAACATCTATGAGCAACACTTGCAATAGAGTTTTCATGCAAATATTGCAATAAAATTAAGGAGGAAGCTGCCACTCATTAGGCTGAGAAGTATGAGTGTGAAAAAATAATGAGCTGCCCTGGCCAGTACACTGCTGGGAAAAGAGAAGTAAGAATGCAAGGACAGGGTACAAATATAGAGATAGGGGAAAAAAAGCAAATGGAAGTAATACAAGATATAAAATGGAAAATTGCACCGTGAATGGTACTGTGAACTTTAAAACAGAACACTAAGCAGGTGCAAGGGTGAATAATGGCTTACGGAGGCAACCATAAACAAGAGAAGGCAACTCATAGTAAATATTCACATTTATCCAAACCAGCTGATCTATGACCGATTCCCATGTTTCTATGATGATAATCTTTACCAAACAGTACTTGTTTTCTAAGGTGTGCCTTTTAATTAAACAAATATAAGGCTAATTATACTTAAGTGCTACTTCATAATTATGATCTTGAGTAATGTACTGTACTCATTATCTTCAGTACTAAGTTACTAATTTTTTCTTTAACATCACATTCTCATTTCCTTTTCTGCAAGACTTATCCGACTCAACTTCCAGTAATTTATTTATCACATGTGCAATTATAAGGCATTGGCAGAAATGATGCATCTGTAGTAATCTGACTAACCCCCAGCAAAAAAAAGCAATCTTAACCTTTTTATATGAATGTTTAAGTAAGACACACACCAATGATCATGTCCAGAAGGTAAGTGAAGAAAAAATGGTTCTCCCAAAGCCCATTATAAAACTCATTGACAATACAGTATATAATTTTGAACCAGAATTCACCTTCTTGGGCAACATGAGGTGAAATTGCAACTACTGTATACAAGTATTTAAGAAAAAAAATTCTACCTATCAATCATAATTTTTTTTGTCACATTAATGCAAACACAAGCTATTTTTCTTTAGGTCTAATCATAATATCTTATGTTATTCAACTATAACTGTAACACATTACTTTAATACTTCAGACCCATAACTTACATTCCTTTGTCAGCATTTCAAAGGCCCTTATTGTTGATAATAAATCCTGAACATCCAGATTCATCATCCAGTACTGGCATGGCAACTAAGGATGCAAAGGTACCTAGAAGAAAAGTTTCTTTTATAAATCAGAATAAAAATGTCATAAATAAATGGTGCAGGGAGAGATTAAACAATTATTGCTCTCTTGTATCAGGAAAAATACAACAATGTACGTAAATGCAGTGTTTACAGATTACAGGTTATTCTTTTTATCCATCTAATTGCTGAGGCTTCCCCTCAGCTAATTAAAATTGCCAGGCATTATCCAGAACAAAATCCTTAAAATCGTTCATAGCGCTCACTCAGAGGGTCAAATGTTAGGACAACAGTGTAGCCATAACAGGGTCCTCTGTGGTGAATGGTAAAGACAGAAGCCTCACATCATAAAGGGAATAAATTAAAGTTAGGAGAGCAAATGATAACTAATGCACAGTTAAAAGTATTCTGAACTTCACACAAGAGACATGGGCTTAATCCAATGTCCAGGGAAGGTTGGTGGAAGTGTCATTCTGATGTGGTGTGCACTGAACTGCCCACCAGCCAAATAGATGGACCGGGCTAAGTTATCTCATGGAAGTATAAATGTAAAAAAATTGTCTATGAAATCATGGGTCATGATACTGCTTAAGGGAACAGCATATAGTAAATATTTATTCTGAATAAAGGATCTTTGCAATAAGTTTTCATTATAAGTGAAGCCTTGCGATGCATAAGTATTTGCTTACTGACATCTGATAAGTCAACAGTCATATATACATACACTCAGGTCCACTTTATATCAAATTCAATATGAACTGATATATTGAACCACAAAAGAGACTGGATATGGTTAATCTAAAAAAAAATCATCTAAGACAAATGGTCAGGATCACATCCCATCTAAACTGCATCAGGCAATGGTCAGTGTCATGTGGTAGCAGTGACAACTTTCACAGGCTAGATGTGACTTTCTTCCAGCTGACACCTGAGTGGATATTGTCTGGGACTCATTTGCAGTTCTGAGTTCATGTCCCAATGGGGTTATTAAGTATTGAAAAAATGTAGTTCTCAAAATGGAAACCAGGAGCCAATGTTATCCAAAAACATTAGATACCGCCTAGTAACTGTGAACCTCTTCACAGGCATAATTTGGCTACCAATGCCTTTATCCATGAAATTTCAAAATAATTATCAAGTTTTTGAAAATCAAACTTTTGACCTTTTAAACAATATGAAAAAAAAGAAGATAAAAGTCATTGTTTTTTCTAGTGTACTAATTCCTCCAAAAGAAATTAATTGTCCAATTATGAGGCATAGCTCTTCTTGCCTACTACATCTCATACTAAAGTGATCATATAAGCTCTCTTCAATCTTGTAATAACAATCTGGGTAACTACATTACTAAAAAAATACAAAAGTCTGACATACGGTTTGGCAATAAAGTCTGAACACCTCGCCAATAACATGAACTCTCCAAGTGTGACACTCCTGTACTGGATAACTTAAAACCTGAAACACTATAAGAAAACTCACAGTGACTTACTTTGTCAGGTGCCTGCAACGTCTTGCTTCTAGAACTTGAATGCTTTCCACAAACAAAGTAAAACATAAGGACAATCATCATGACACACAGAAGGCAAGTGGTGTACAGGATATGCACTTGAATGAGTGTAACATCTCCCTGAAAAGTCCACAACAAAAATTTAATATAATGTGTAGTTGTAAATAATAATTCCAATATACATTCAAAATAAATCTTATAAGTATTATTCTTCTATTATTATTACAGTACAATTCACCTTTAAATTTCCTTCTTTACAGTATTTTTTTTTTAAATACTGTCAGTATGCTTTTTACTGTAATATTAAAGTTTTGTCTCCCAAATTTTGTGACCACAGAATGCAAAAAGATAATGTGATCTCACTCAAACACTATTTCATGGTTATATAATAACACATAAACCTAACAAAGACTATATGCAAGAGTCCACATATAATCAGAGGCGGATCCAGGAATATCAAAAGGGGTAAATCAAATAAGCTGTGGGTGGGGGCACATGGCGAGCGCAGTAAGCCCACCCAGCTGGGGTGTTTCGGTGGGGTGCTGTAACCCCCCATTTTTTTAAATCTAACCAATATTATAGGCATTTTGAAGCCATATCTACTTGATAATAGGAAATATTCAGAGGTCAATAGTAATTACTTTTTACTATACAAAAATGCCTAAGTACAATACTGCATTAAAGAAAAAAATATTAGAATTTTCTGATGAAAGGGGGAGGGGTGGACACCCCCTCATAATATACACTTGTGATTAATGTGGGTGTAATTAGCTGCTTTCATAAAATAACCCTTAACTCTTTGACTTTGATGTGTCCACTGGGTGATCCCACAGACAACAGAATGATATTAATAGTAATAACAAGAAATTATGTGAAAAATTCTACATCATTCAAGACAAACACACACTGTGGCCAAGCAGGTGTTACAGAGACGTGGAAGACCTCAGAGTCAGAGGGGGAATAACATAGAAAGTGGGAAGACAAACTGGATGGTGAGGTTGTAAATAACACAGACCCTGCAGTAAGCTATGTCACAGGGTTAAAGTAATAAGTGCTAGTAATTCACGGAACAATCTACCAATTAATGTTATGACATTATTAATTATGAACTCTTTTAAGTTCAAGCAAAATCAGCACTGACTCATGTACAATCAGGAGCCTTTACATTCCTTATACTTGCTAGTTGTGAAAGTCTGATAGTGAGCAACCGAACTAATAGTTAGTAAGCTGAATAGGGATGAAGAGGACAAGTAAAGTATGTACCTCTGACAGATAAACATTGAGTTCATGTTGAGCAGCTACCATCAGGTTGCCCTCCACACCCACGGTGCACCACTCTTCTGGCTCTTGCACCAGCCATGGCTGAGCCATCACTACTTCAACTGTCTTTGTGTCCTGAAAAATTATACAAGCACTGTATACAGATACTGAGGAGAATTACATGGTTCAAATAACAATACTGTACATCCTAGATTATATAAACAATTACATCTAAGTGGCAAAGTTTGGGTGACATGATATATTGGAGTGAGTTACTGGTTGTGGTTGTCAGGTTCATGGAAGGCCTTATCATAAAATATAGTCGACAAAGATGATGTAGGACAATACTGTACCTTAGATACGGTACAGTTGGAGGGGGTGATCGGAGAGTCTGGAAGCAAGTGAGCTGGACCTGACAGCAACATACAGGCAGTCCAGTTCTTGGCTTTCTTGGAAGCTAATTCAATTGTTACTTCTAATTCACTGGGATCTCCTGTTGTCAAAAGTTCAGTAGCATTAGTTTACCTGCTATAACAAAAATACACTTTTCACTCTTGCTGGGATCAACAAAGACTCTCCAACCATTTACTGTCATTCATTCTCTCACTCCTTAAACAAATGTATTTTCCAATCTGTGTATTTATATAATCTTACTCTTCTCCCCCTTTTTGTGTGGAGTAGATCGATAAAAATACACTTTGGGTACAAGCCAAGTGTACAAAGTAAATGGAAAGGGCTTAAAATAGAAGATATACAGTACTGCTCATAAACACATGCACTCTCACACACATTGGGATATATCATCAACTTAAATGCAAACATCACATAATTTTATCCTCCTAAAGGATTTACAATATTTTATGCAAAATCACTACCTGTACAGTATATAAGAGCATATAGTTATTTTATCACTGATCAAAATATATTTAAGATGGAGGTAATGATTTAGTTGCTCACAACTTTTAACAGAAGATGGACTTACTCTTGAAACCAAGAAATCTGGCAGACAAGGAGGAGTGAAGTGCTATTCCTACTACAGGGTTGCCATCTTTCTCCACTTGTACATCTGCTAGTATGCTAACTGTAACATTAGCTTCAGTCTCATTAACACTTGTCTCAGGAAGCAGCGTTACTAAGGGTGGAAGCTCACGGGTGGACCTCAACTTTGTCACTTTTGATGCTCCATTCTCGGGAAAGCATATCTTCATGTCTGATAGTGTTGTGTAGAAACTGTTCCAGTCCTGTTGATGGATATAACAAAATTGTGTTTATATTTCTTCCATAATATTATCCTGGACATGCAAGCTTAATGTGAACAAAGTTACTTGATAAAAGGAATGGGCTTATAAGTTACCAATTCTGTACAGTAATAAAATTTAGGATGCACAGTAAACTTATGTGAACCATTGTGAATCACATTAGAGGCTATTGATTCATCCAGGATAATTCATACAAGGTGAGGTTCTCAATAAGTGAGTTTGTCTTTCAACATATTAACATATTGTCTTACGACTTTCCTGTCACTTTCTATATTGGAAGAGGGGTAAACATAATGGTTTAGATGGATAGATACTATAGCCTTCTTCTTTAAGATTCTAACTACTGTATTGTACTGTCCTGTAATTTGAAATCTTTTCTTTATATGAATGGTCTAATTGTACTGTATATGGTAAAGTGTATTGGTAAATTCCTCACCAAAGAAAAATAAAGCTCTACTGTGTCACCCATGAGCCTGGAAAAGACATGATACAGTCAACTTGGAATACATTGTAGGAGGTCCTAAATATTTATGATACTTGAGGGATGCTGTAAAATGCAGACAATTATACAAAACACTTTATTATGTGCTGTAAAAATAGATGACAAAAATCTTACCTTTATATCTGGGTTTAGAATTTGTGTCTTATGCCCCTGTAGATACAGAGACACACCAACAAGGGCAACTGCAAATGCTGCAATGCTTGCAGCAAATACTACCAGCGGTGGCTTGCTGCCAATAAAGTCCCGCAGGCTGTTGCAAACTCCCATCTGTGCACCTTCAATAATATTCACTTCAGTTACTAAAGTCTTAACTACAAATACATTTAAGGAACAAATGCGTCTTAAACAATATCCCAAAACCATTAGCTGAGTAGTGTCTTTATTGCAAAGTGCAGTACAGTATGGTAAAACTATACAAGACACAATTTTAATTTATGAATTACTGTAAAGTCTTCCTAATAACTTAATAAAAATGAATAAATTAGATTTCTGAGAGTCTTGTCCGACAGCAACTATTCTTCTCAAAGTTGAATTAAAAAGTTATGAGATTTTATTGTGTATTTTCAGACACTCTTAATTTAAATACAAATGCTGTACAACAATGAGATACCTAAAACAGCACTTTATAAGTTATCTATCATTTTAAGGGATGACAAATCATTTATAGATGCACATTTTTTGTGCATAGGATGGGAAACCTGTGAAATGATAAGTCAGTGGTTTGTTCAGCTTTCAAAGCATTTGTAATTCCCATTATGTACATGCACAGTACTTTGAAAATTCATAAGCTGAAGCTTCGTAAAATAGGGTCTACCTGTACAGCACTAAAAAAAATCAGTAATATATTGGAAGACAGTACTGTACAGTATTGTACTTTAACCAGAAACTTAATGAAATTTTCCTATACGTATAAGATAACTATTTTCTTACCTTATGAAAATTTTATAAAGTGACAAGAATATGGAATTTGTGTAAAACTGTACTACATTACATTTGCGATTTTTTCTGAACTGAGCAGATCTATACACTACCCCTCACAGCTGCCATCTTCAATGTTTACACAGCCAGGTACTTCATTCTGTATATATGAAAAAGCATTTGTGTGGAAGATGATAATAGAAAATTCTTGATGCCATGCACGGAAATTACTATGGAAAATAGTTTTTAAAGCATATTTCAATGTGTTTCATGCAAATTTGGGTGAATGTTTACTTTCGGACAGAATGGGAATCTTAGGAATTTTATCTTTTCAATCAATACTGTAGTTTAAACAATTCTATGACATTTCCCTTGTGAATTACCAAACTTCACTTCCTAGCCAGTGGCTCCGCACCCATGGACACCCAGGCATATAAACGGTGAGTTAATTACAAGGGATACATAGAAGAAAAGTGTCATAGAATTGTCTAAACTATTGATTGAAAAGAAAAAATTCTTATAGTAAAGATAAAAGTCCTAAGATTTCCGTGTTATCTGAACGTAAAATAATACCCAAATTTGACCTTAATTTCTGTTGGATAAGAGGGCCAGGTTGTTGTTGAGATATCACTTCCAATTTTCTGCACAAACTGGGAGGTGCTTTGTAGATGGAGATTGTGGAGTAAACACGCAAAAAAAAAAATGAAATGGAACCTAACAAAACCTCATAACCAGAAGTACCTTACCTCATAGTTAATTAGTCCATCTTACAGGTGATCAATAATATAATGTAGAAATAAATATTAATCACCGGCACGTAAACAGTGAATACGGTGTCATTGCACGTTGATTTATATAAGTGTTCTCGAAAAAAAAAAGGATGCGAAAAATAAAATCACATAAACTATAAAACCTCATCATCACTAAAGGGATTTTACCGATATAAGAATACACCTATCTTCTTAAATAAAAAATCCTCAAATTTATGGTTAACGTAACATACTCTCTTCTAGGACTGTTTAAATCCCACATTAACCTTACCTTTATTAAATGATAATGAGTGAGAACTAAAGGTGTCAACCAGAGGCGACGTGTCCAGTGTTTACCTTGTGTCACGTGTCCGATTCCCTTTGACGAACACCACCAATCAGTTCTGAATTATCATATAACCCCCATCATCTTTATTTAGAGCTAATTACATTTATTAATTAATATGAAATGTATTTTATATAATTTAAATTGGAAATATAAGGTCGTTAAATACAGCACTGGGATAATCTGTAATCCAAAGGAGTCAAGAGAGAATTTAAATTATAGGTTTCGGATACATTGTTATGACGCAGAGAGACAAGGACCGACTACGAGCCTAAATTAATTATTGATATTATATATGTATTAAATTAATTTTTAAAAATGTATTCATACAATTATATAATCAATAAAACAATTAAAAATAACTCAAATATTTTGCGCATTTTAACTAAAAACTGGACGAGATTATACATTGCTAGAATTATTGTTATGAATCAGCTGTTGGGGCAGACAGATGGCGAGGGGTGATGATCAATTGGGGTCTATTTGTTGTGATAAACGTTGCCAAGTATAGAGTTGGATGAAGGTTTAAGTATAACTAGGTTACAATGGCACGCATCAGCCCTGAGAAGAAGCTACTGCTGACAAAGGTGGGTTAAATAACAGCCATTCTGCACCTGTAATTACTATTTTTGGTAGGTCAAACTAATCTGGTGGATTTTTTAAAATAAATTTGTTGAATCATATATTGATAACGTCTGTAAATGATTCAGGTGAGATATATTTATGAAATAAGTAATATATCACTGGTGCTGATCCAGCTTATTATTCTCAACCCAACCTAGTAAATATATGCTTCTATGGTTAATTTTAAACCTTCCCAATGTAATTTAATGTGCATTTATAATTTCTAACCATTTAGTGTGCAGATGGTTAAGAAAATGGAACCTAAGGAAACCTAACCTAATAAAAATATCTTACTTTGTTGTATTTGAAATTGTTCCTAAAGGAAAACTGACCTAACATGACCTTATTGTATGTTAATGCCATCTCTCCTGCCTATGCTCAAGGATTCTTACATTGGTCACAGGTTGCAGTTTTGTTAAGAATACCAGACTTTACAAAAATGTCTTGCATAATTTTTTGAGTTGTGGATTAATTTAATATTGGCAAAAATAATATTCACAATTACCACACTCATGTCCAAAGTCAGGAGAGGCTGCGTGGAACTGAGATAAGGAAGATGGGGAATATTCCTGCTGATTGGCTGGAATAATTAAATTTAAGAACCTCCTAAGACATGCATTGGCTGCGTGCCCAGGTACAACCAAGAGAGCACATCAGGCCAGTATTAGGTAGTATCCATTTACACAAACTTTAGATCATGGAGGAAAAAGGCATGAACAGTTATATACAATACAGGTACAGTATATTTAAAGAAATTCTGTAAGTCTTCTAACTTTATGTGAATGACCACAAAGTTCTGTAATTTCAGATGGTGGAAGGTAACAGCATGCCAACCAGTGACGTTGTACAGCTCTTGGCGTCCCACGACACACTGGCTAAAAAACTCACTTGCTACCATATTGCTGATAAGTAAGTGTACTAATGAATGAATATGTACAGTGTTGGGAAAATACCATAAATGTCACATTATTTGGTATGATGTTATCTTAACACTACTTGCAGATGCAGTACCAATGCTGATCTAGCTCTCCTGACTGCCAACCTCCTGTTGAGAGATGCCAGCGATGCCAACCCGAGTGTACGAAGTGCCAGTATTTCCGCCCTGGCAGCATTGCCTGGAATAGAAGAGAGTTCTGTGCGTGCTATTTTCTCGGCTCTCTCTGATCAAGCAGCCATGGCAAGTGTATCATTAATTTGTTTCTTCCATGCTAAATGAATAATAAAAAACCAGACATCCACTGTTGCCATTTAGTTACTTTCATTACACAGAAAGTAAATTGTTCTTTGAATTTTTCCTAATCCTTGCTCATAAAATATACAATTGAAATACTGTACAATATTAATAGGTTATTTGATAGTGTTGATTTCATCAGCCGTTTTTTTCATTGTACAGGTGCGGAGAGCAGGTGCAGTGGCTTGTGTGCGACTGTACTCCCATGCTCCTCAGTCTGCACTTGAGTCAGGTGTGATAGATATATTGTATGAAGGACTGCGTGACTCAGATCCCATTGTAATTACCAATTGCATTCTAGCCCTTGAACATATCCTGCAAAATGAGGGAGGACTGGTAGTCAACAAGAATATTGCAATGTACCTTTTAGGGAGAATAATGCAATTTTCTGAATGCAATGCTGTCTATGTGCTTTCACTTCTACTCAGGTTAGTCAAAGTGTTATAAGTCTCAGAATAATAATGCAGTACATAATCAATAGCAGACGTAATCTTCATGATATGTTTATATCTAGTTTTTTATTGATAAAGAATTGGATATACAATATATGCTTTGATGTAGTATGTAACTTTCATACTGTACTGTAGGATGGTTCATTTAGAATGTTTACTTTATATACTTATTAATAAATTTTAATTGCCCTTATAGGTACACACCCAAGACTGAGGAAGAACTAATTCTTCTCTTAAATGCACTGGATGAACTCTTGTTATCAAAGGCTTCAGCAGTTCTTGTAGCAACTGTAAAACTATTTCTTCATTGGACTAAAGACCATCCTCATCTAATGAAGGACATGCTTGAGATGATACAACCTTCTGTGTGCAAGATCCTTGGTCGTAATGTTCCCGAGACGTCATATTTGATGTTGGAGTTTCTTAGTACATTGGGGGATATACAGAATATCTTTGGCCCGCATTATAAATATTTTCTGGTTCGGGCTAAAGATCCAGGATATTTAAAGACTCAAAAACTCAAGGTGCTTCCCCTTGTTAGCACAGAAAATAATGTTTGTAGTCTCATAGAGGAAGTGAAACCTTTTTGTAGTGATTATCAGAGTTTTCGAGGTGCAGTTACATGTATGGGAGCATTAGCCCAAGTCAGTACCTCAGCCCACGAATTGTGTCTGTCAATTTTGGTGACGTTATTGGATGCACCAACAGAAAGATTGGTTATAGCTGCCCTAGAATGTCTTCTAACTGTTGTAGTTTCATTACAAATAGAAGATAATTCCATTTGCATTTCCAAAGAACCTGTACAGTCATCACAATCTGTGGGAGATGCTGATGCAAATGAGTCACAAGTGGATGAATCTACTCTTCTTCCTTCTTCATCTGCAGACACTCCTAAACCTGTGACACAAAAGACCATACCAGAATTACCTCAAGACCTCATACAAGCTGTAACCAGAGCTTTGTCAAGAGGTACTGTCCAAGAAACAGCACCTTCACTTGTGCTTCATGTTCTTGGTACACTGGCACCATATTTGAACTCTGCCCCAGATATACTGCAGAGTATGTTGTCACTTGCATCCTCGTCAGAGTTCATCCATGCAGACCTAGTCACTACAGCTGCCCGAATATTTCTGTGCCGGCCAGCACAGTCTCAACTCTTATTAGCTGCTATTCTTGTCAGAGCTCTTAAGATTCCTGGTGAACCAGCCTCAAGAGCAGCATTAGTTTATTCATCACTTCTTGAAGGTCCTGCTGATGCAGCCCAACTTCTTGGGGTTGACAGTAGATATATAACATCCTCTACCCAGCAGTGTGAAAAGCAAGTGATACATGAGTAATTGAGAACCTTGTGTGACATTTGGTTTTTGTTAGAAGGTTTGTTATTGTATGTACTGTATATGGCTAAACTCATATGTATATAGATAAAAACCACCTTTGAATTTATAGGATTTTATATTTTTTTATTATTTTATTGATTTTTCTGCATATTTTGATATTTTTAATGGGTAAATGCAGATAACGACATCTTTAGGGGAGAAAATTTTTGTATACAAATTAAAAGTGAAAAGGTTCACAGAATAACCTGTTAGGATTCAACAATACTTGAACACACTTTTACCTTACATGTACAGTACAGTGTATAGATCGACAGAATTGTTATAAATGTTTTTAAATTCATGAGTTAAATATTTATTTCCCAATATAGTGCACACATATACGGTAAACACCTGTAAGAAACATACAGTACTCAAGAGGTAGGTTTTACAGAATAATTACTGTATATTACCAAATTGATATGAGCATTGGCATCTTAAAAGCTCAAGTGGTCAGACAAATGCTGTACCCATAAGGTGGAAGGCATTTAATGTCTTAAGTGAGCCTGTGTTGTCGAGGAACAAACTTTGCATCCACAGTTAATCTTTGACCACACTAACACCCTGTATAAGCAGGTCAGGGTAGTACAATTTGCAGCCTCAAGAAGTGCAAACCAATGTATGGAGGACATCCAATGCATGTTGACAACGCCCATAATATTAAACATCTTCCCTTGAAGAGGGTCGTCGTGTTTCAACCCGAGTTTTAAACAAAATGAGTCCCGAGAGACACCGCAGTACAGTACTTAATGGGGTGGTGTGGCGGTAAAATTAACTAATTCCAATAAAATTAATTTATAATATTGGAATTAGTTAATTTTACCGCCACACCACCCCGTTAAGTACTGTACTGCGGTGTCTCTAGGAACTAATTTTGTTTAAAACTCGGGTTGAAACACGACGACCCTCTTCAAGGGAAGATGTTGTTTAATAATACGGGCGTAAGTCTTGAGAGACCAAAGGTAGGAACCCAATTGAGTTTCTTTTCAATGATCAGCCCAATGAAGCTTGTTCGTCTACACATGGAATCCTACGTCTACATATAAATATGTCAGGATCTGGATGGAGGTCATGTATGTGACAAGTGCATAAATGACAATGGTTTTCCTGGTAGAAAAATGGAAACACACCTCTCTACCCACTGAGATACCCTATTAGATGCATTCCTATTCATATTGTGGATTGTGATTTTGAGGCTAAAATAAAACAATTTGAAGGAACATCAAACATATATTTTGTGGAAATTTATATAATTCACTATTAAAAGTTAATTTTTGTAATGAATTCATCACATCATCTTGAAGTAAATTATATAAATTTAGTCAATATACACACCCGTCCCTTCTCCCCATTTCCCCTGGAAGGTGGGAACCTTTGATTAACTCAGGGAGTAGCAACCCTGTCTTGCCAGCTAAGAGGGTGCTTGGAAGTCCTATATATAATGGCCAGTTCCCATTCTGTAAAAGTGGGTTGGCAATAGGAAGGGAATCCAGCTGTAAAACTTGCTTCAAATTTACCTGATAACAACGGGGACACCATGCCATCAGGTAGTCATGGCTAACCCACACAAGCGTGGAAAATGACTGTAAAATGATGATGATGATGATGATAACCAGAATACAGAACAGTACTTATTAAATACAAAATTTTCTGCACAGCAGAGTTATAATTAACAGTATTTCTCCAGTAACAAGAAGTAAGTTTTCATATGTGTAAAATTGAAAAAGGGTTGATTTTCTTATGAGTGTAAATGGTGGACATTTATTAGATGCATAGCCTGTAATAACATCTGTGGTACAGTTGCGGAAATGTGTTCTTACACCCCCTGAGGGAACCCGTGTCACCAAACAGCCATCCTATATGACCTAATCCGACGGTATAGCAAACTTATCCACCAATCACGTCTTTTGTTACACGGCCAATACCCGTTAATTCGTGAATAGTGATACTACTGCGACATTGCTGTTTGGAGACATGGGTTACCACGGGGTGTAGGAACACATTTCTTCAACTGCACCATAGAGTACTGTATACTGTACTATACAGCATACGATGCTATGAATAATTTCCTAAAGTACGTGTTATTTATTTTCACTTACTGTACTGGTATTATATTCAAAATATATGTATGGACAAGAAGAAACTCTTAATGGAGTCCTAATCAAGTCTCTCTAAACATACTTTCCAGGAGAAAAGTCTTGAGTGCACTAACAATGGTGCATACCGGTAACATTCAACACACTGTTGTCTCTCTATTTGTATTCAGAAACTGATTTAACACTGTTCACAGGCAGTTTTCTCCAAGCACCCTGCTCTTACATAGAGTTGACTCTTAAAAGAAATGCTTGCTTTACTTCTGAAAACTTAAAGTTGAAGGCAATACTGTACACCAGAGGTAGATAATACAATTAAATATATAATATACACGAGAGAAACAATGTTTCACGACAAATAGTCAGTTTAATGAAACAACGACCAAATACGGTAAGTACGGGCATAAACATGAATGAAGAAGACATAGAAGGAAAAACAAAAAATAACTGATAAGACAAGTATCAAGTTTAGCACTATATTATATTACCCTCAAGGATATTATGTTAATGGCAAAATCTCGCAATAATCTGAGTCATCTCCATTATGCTTGGCAGAATCTACAAATATGAATTTAATGTCTGTCATTGAGAACCTGCATACAGTATACTGTAGTATATCATTTATGAATAAAACTGCTATGGAGAAATGACAATATTACAGAATTTACTTTTTAGAAACCAGTTGATGATAAAAAGGAAAAGAAACATTTCAGTGTCATCATTATTACAGTACAGTACTGTACCTGTATAATCCTGAAAACGAGTAAATATACTATTTACTGTAATTGCTATATGCTTGATCTTCCTGTCTACAGTTTCAACAAGAAAAAATGCCTCATACCTAATTATCCTACAAGAAAGTTTTAAGGAAAAAACTAAATTTATTCTAAAATCAAAACAAAAAACATTGTTAGTACTGTATAAATCCTGCATTACTAAAGCCATTCTTCCAGCTATTCTAATCCATTTCTATACCCATTGACTAATTTTTTCAGTAATCTCTTGGTAACAAAGCATACATTCCTAAACGACAAAATGCGAACTGCAGTGTAATATTTTGACACGAATAAGTGAAATCTTGATTCTCATTCAATTATGATCTAACCTGAATTTACAGCCATGTTAACAACCATGGGAGTTAAAATGAGCAAGAAATGTAAAGTGATGAAAAGAAAGCATAAATATAAGGCCAAAATCATTATATTATCAGTTGATATTATCACACTATAAGAGTAAAGATGGTTCTGAGTCCTCCATCAACAGTAGCTGATAACAACATGCCCAAATATTCCTATTTAATTTAATAGATAGACTACAGTTCATCTTATGTCTAAAGGAATGTTTTTGTCCCTAACTTCATTACATAATTTATGTATTTTTTAATTGTCTTCAAAGCCAAAAAATTTCCACAATAATATTGAATCAAGTTTATGTGTTACATGATTCAGTTATGCAATGTGAAGTGATAAAATAAAATGATGTAGCCATGAAAGTTTTCAGCCCTATGACAATCAGAAGAATCAGCCAGAATTGCTTGTGTGTTCTTGTTGCAGTCATTACCTTGCTACTACATCAACACCATTAAGTTTTCTTCAGAATGTGGTTTTCTAGGTCATAAACTATTAGCTTTTGTCACAGTAAATAAACATATGAGATGTTTACAAAATAAAATAAAAACTAGAAGAGAGGTACAGTACTAGTGAAGAAAAATATACTGTACAGGTGCTCCTCTACTTAAGAACGAGTTATGTTCCTGAGGCTTGTTTGTAAGTCCAACTTTACTCTTGTAGATACCAAACATATTATAAAAAATGAAAAGATTATGGATATTTAGTACAGCTATACCCTGTAATACAGCCTTAAAACCTGGCTCACTCTTCTCCTCTTAGGTAATGTTTGTTCTATCTGGAAGTTTCTTCAAAATAATCCAGTCTCATCCACATTAAACACCTGTTCTGGCAGGTAACCTCCTCCCCCCCCCCAGTGATGATGTTTATCTCTGAAAGTTTGTAAGTTGAACATTCTTAAGTAGAGGAGCACCTGTACTGTACTCATAGCTATGAGAAAACTCTCTCACTCCTCACTTGAATAAAGTAGAAATCACACAATCTATTAACATATACAGTACTGTACTTATATAATAGAGATTTCTATCATTAAACACTGTACTGTAGTTAAATTTTTTTAAAAGAAACCTCTTATCAGTGAGGAATATGGCACTATACACTAGCAGTGGACCAGAAGCCCCTTCCCTGACCACAGATAGCAGTCAATGACTGGATCAAGTTAAATAGTAAGAAAAACTAGTGTCACTGGTAGACTGTACAGTGCTATACTGTACTGTAATTGATGTTTAGTGAACTAATTGGTGTAATGTAGTACACATACTGTAGTGTGGCAATAACTTCATGTTTAAATTGTTTACATTTCATCCCTTAATATTGCTTTACCTGAATGGTTTAAAACAACCTTATTTACTGGGAATTATTATTCTGGAAGATTGTATGCAAAAAAAGCAATTCAAGACTAAATACAGAAATAATGTAATAAAATTTGGCATAAAAACATTCCTAAGGATATAAGATCAAAGGAGATAACTCAGCAACCTGCCAAACCCTTCAAACTGTCCCATAAAAAAAGTTAACATTTGTTCTTAACAATAATACAACTGGGTATGTAGGCTACAATACAAGCTTGAGGCAAATGCTTTAAACATATCAAGTGTCGGTGCATGATGCAATCTCTCGGAAATTTGTTCGAATGCCAGGGATGGAAAGATTTTTTCTGGAATTTCTCAGAATGCTCTTTTTTCCGGGTAAGTGAGAGTTCTGGGAATTGAATATTCCAGTTAACAGAGAGATTACTTATAGCTTAAGTAGGATTTACATATAACTTTGTAACAACTAACTTTTTACATCAATTATAATTACAAATATAAGCTTGTTAACTTGTAAGTATCATGGCAGGTTACCACTCCATGAAGTTCCCCAAATTCTGATGATGAATACTGATTGATGCCTGAAACACCAAAACTTTTATGACTGATAAATATATATTAATATTGTACACTAAGTGGCCATGAAAATAATACTGTATATATATTCCTCATTGTACAGTACCTGCATAACCTTATCCATAATGTAATGCATCATTTCTGCCTCTTACTTCATGTTTCATCTCTTCTACCTGTCACTGTCATCGTCGTCACAGTCAATCTGTGATTCTTCATCCGACTCGGACTCGGATTCTGATGATGACTCGTTTCTCAGTTTCTCCAATCTTATCCTGAAGAGATTTAAATCCAACTGAGCCAGTTGTTGAAGGAATCCATTGTTTGGCCGAATCTCTCGATCTAAGAAGGAAATAGAAAAATGAGAAATTTATTTATTTTTTAATATTATTAAATAAGAAATATTTGGCAAAAGGATCCATGTTTGGTAAATTGGCAGTAAGGCTATATTCTATAATGAAAATAATAAAAGAAATTTCTTTGACATTTTATGATTAAAAAAATTTAACACGAAAATACTAAATGTAAGAGAAAGAACTGTTGATTTAAATTGATGTATTAAAGAAACTGTGAACAGCACACTAAATCCTACATTAATGTTGTACAGGTACAGTATAGTATCTAAATTTTTCATAGTTCATTGAAAAAATTAATTCTTGTAAAGTGGAAAGTAATGGTGATTTTATTCTTGACAAATAAAAAGTCATCTTGACAGAATACTGTACAGAACTGTAGAAAAACTGTTTACACAGTACCAATACAGTTGTCAGCATTTCTGTTTAGCATAAATAGAGCACTATATACCAGAATTTTATATTTTATTTATTCTATGAATACTGTACAGTTGTCACTAAAATGCTTGAAAGATACTGAACTTAGTCAAGAAACTGAACCTAAGAATGATTAGTGATGGGAGTAAGGGCTGGCAGGGCACCTTACTGTACATATTTATCAACCCTTATCATGGGAAGATAACTCCCCCATGTGTTCAACTGGATCTTAAGAGTAAGTACTGCCTAGAGTTTAGACTCAAACTTTCCAACTTTAAATTTACCCCCTGATCTTTAAAACAACTACTATCCTTCTGAATAAAGTAATTTTCTCCTGCTATCAAACATTTTACACCATAGGACACTAACAGGTTCTGTCCAGAAGTGGTTGATGGTTGAATATGTCTCTCACAAATCATCTGCAATGCTTCATTAGTCAAAGAAAAAATAAATCAGAAGGAACTCACTTTCTCTGAGCAGTGTTAATGCAGTAGCAGCTGTCATGTTGCGGCACATCATCAGGAATGCTGCAACAATTGTTGCTGATCGAGATCGTCCCTGCCTGCAATGGACCAAGACTGTCCCTGAAAAATATATAAAGTAAGAAATCAGCAAACTATGTGGAAATTTTAAACACAAACATAACAGCATTAAATTAACAACAAATAAAAATAAAAACCTACTGTACACAATCTATTTAGCAGTCACTTCAAACCTCACCTTGAGACTCTGTCTTGTAAAGGTCAAATATAATGCAGGTTGTCCATGTAAGGCTGTAAATCAATTTTAAGGATATAAATAACCCTTTTAAACTACAATAACTTTACCCCAATCAAGATGGAATAAAAAAAAATATGCATTACCCGTATAAATAAGATACATAAATAAATCAATATAGCACTAACCTCCAGATCTCAGGGCACTGTCGATAAAGTCTGTAGCCTTCTCAAAGTGTGTGGAAATGTTAATAAATGGAAGGTCAATGAGGTCCAGTCCTAAATATGTGATTGATGGATCCTGAAGAATAAAAAACAACAACACAAATTAACTTAATTTTTCTGTAAGAACATAAGAACACAAACTGCCCTGTACCTATGCTTTATCTCAGGAGGTTATACATTAAAAGCTGGGGGCTGAATGTATCAACAATCATAATGTCATGTATGATGTCTAGCTGGACTATAGATCAGAGCAAAGAGCTAAAACAAATTCACTAAAGGATAGACAATAGAGCTGCTAAGAGAACTATACAGTATTTGGCAACAGTATGTAGGAGGGGAATGAATGATGGGCCAAGCAGCTAACAAACTGACCAGTGGTGAAGAGGATAGGAGTAAAAGTAAGAGAAAAGAAATCCAGTGAGTTAATATCATATATAATTGGAAAAATAAATAAATAGAGTATAAGAGAAAAAGAGCACTACTGATTCTGCCAACCCTGCAATAAGTAGCAACAGGTTTGAGAGAATATACTGTATATGTAATAAAAATGCATACACATTCTTCTAAAAGAGTTTAAACCCCTGAGATATTATCAATACTATACATGAATAAGTCTTTCACTTATGAATATCATACATAACCAATTTTATGGGAATTATCAACAGCTAGCTTATAGTGCATGTGGAAATAGAATACATCAACATCACTGCACGGTACGATGTTCCTATTGATGGTTCAAACAGCTTGTATAAAATTTGCAATAGAAGTACATTTATGAGTCATACCTTGTAATAGTTGGGGCCAGTCTTAACAGGGGCAGGTCCACTAGAATTGTCAGCAGCATTAACTACGTGTGTAATGCCATGGCGGAGAAGGTACTGCTCGTTCATAGCCGCGTCACTAAAACACAATTACCATAAAATCATTTGAGTTAAACATACTGTACAGTACTGGTGATTTAGTTTGTTTTTGTTTTTCTTACAAAGGTTATTGTAACTGCTTCATGTTACAGGTATTTAGGTGGGGGGATTATGGGCCATTGATAAATATATTTTTAGCTGTATGTGTTGAGGTTCTTGACTTTGTTAAATACAGAATTTCATATTTATGTATATTATATACTGTAACGTGAATGCTCTTTTACTTTAGTCAATACAAAATATGTAATACTAAAAAAAAAAAAAATTCTCTCTTTGGTACTAATTCTTTAATGCTGATTTGAAAAAATTAGAGGTTGCTTTTAACAATACTCATGTCTTATTTTTGGCTGGGATTGACTGAATTCACAACAAAATGGTGGAATCTGAGGAATTCTTAAGCAAGGTCTTGGGACACTGCTAGTGTTTGCATCAAATGAGCCAGAAGTACCATATCTTTCATGATTACGTTGCAGTACTTTTTCTGTTCAAAGACCCTAATTATATGATAAAAATTATAAGAATAATACAACAAGTACAGGTAGCTTGGAGATGGTCCAGAAACATGCACATTATATGGAAGAAAAAATTAACAGTGAATTCAGCAGAAAAAAAAAAATCACAAGTAAGCAGAATGTAGTTGGTTCACAAAGATCACAGGCATCTGGCAAGGGTTGTACTCATACAAGTAGTACAAGTTAACCTTCAAAATATTCCACTAAGTGTAGACATGTGGGGCTCCAACCTAGAGAACTTCTGTTATGGAGTATTGAAATGTGACGTTAGTAAACATATCTTACTCATATTTTAGTATAACTTTTAACTAATAAACTTACCAGTCTCCTAGATACAAGTGAGGGTAGACCTCATCCATATCCGCACCATCCATAAAGCGTGAGATATGCATCCTTATTTCTGGAATGGGTCGTAGACGAGTCTCCACAGTGGTCACTATTTCTCTCAAATCTTCAAAATCTGAAGGAAAATAGTGTCACTGATTCTCTTCTTACTATAATAGCAAAGAACAGATCAACTGCCTAAATGACTAGTAAGCTGATAATTAATTGGTGAAATGATAAATTATACAATATGGATAGAAAGCAAAGCATGTAGGTAATTGGGAAGGTAAAGATTGCTTAAGAAATATGATCATTACTACAAAATAATACGTAGTCTCAATCAAAAGGGAAGTGTCTATATGATCACATACTCATTCAGGTATAAAGAAAATTGTTCTGTAGTACTGTACTCACATGATGGAAATTCCAATCCGTTGAAATTCATTTGCATCCCCATCTTGACTGTTGTTTAATGGTGTGCAGATCTTCCAGCCACCTCTTGACTGTACTCTTGAAGTACTTGGATGAGAGACAGTATTTCTAGTACTGTATTGTACTTTGTTTTGTGATACTGACCGAAGAATTATAGCAGGGGTTTGAAATGAGCTTGAAATTGACTGATACGTAATGTTCTTATAGAAATATTTTTTTTTTTATGAAGTTATAGATACAAATTATAATGTTAACCTTAGCTTTGGGACAAACTACAGCCTTATTAATCTAGATGACAGTAACAAGCAAAAATGACAACATGTCTAACTTGAAAAGGATGAGAGGACCTTTATCCCTGCAGGCAGATAAAGGATGAATAAAAAAAAGGATGAATTTATGAAAAATGAATCATAAGAGCTAATGAAAGGTCATGGTAGATGACCTGTGTTTTGTGTGTGTGTGTGTGATCATCCAGTACAGTACTGGCTACAATGCAGGTTCCTCAGGGGTAGATCAGAGGCATCATCACAAGCAGGGAGAGCACAATATCGTACTCTCTGATCCAAGACAACCAGTGCAACTGTTTCTGGAAAAAAAAAATTACTTGCCTTATATACAAATGGCAGGATTTAAATGCAACAATCATCTCAGAAAACAAAATGATAAAGCATCTTACTATTCAATCAAAAAATCTAAATATTCAATTATGTATGAGAAATTATTTTTCTTCCGTACTAGATACAGTATATTGTGTAGGATATAAAAGAACAAGAGTTTGCCAAGCCTAGACAAGTGTCACCATATCTATGCATACATTGACTGAACCATTGAAGTGGAGTTTCTTTTTGAGCTCAACTGCTCATATGAGACATACAGTATATAGTCATACTGTACTTACACAAAATTACGATGCTGGGGTCATCAATATACAGTACAGTACTGCATTATTAAAAATAATATCATAATCAAGTGCAGCAGGGAAAGCTTTTCAAGTAAAGGTACAGGTATTGTACTGTATTCATGTATAATTTACATTAAGTACCATACACATAACCTATCTGGTAGGATACTAAACTTCATGAAGACAATTTGCCAAAGAAAAACTGAAAATTCTCTTCTTTATTCAATCTTCTTTGCCACATATTAGCTTATAAGCCATTTGGGCAGTAGGTTACAGGGATATTTCTCTTTTGTGTACTGTTGCCAAAAACTGGCAAGGCTCTGAAATGATTGTCAAGGTTGGGTTTAAAGAAGCTCACTAAGGTACTTTCACATTTGCTGGCAGGTTATTCCACGAGTTCCCAAGTCTTACCCTAAAGAAGTTAGTTCTGTCAGATTTTTGTATTGACAGCTTCTTTACCTTGAGGCTCTGGCCTCTAGGGGAATGGCCATCAACCTAATTTTAGGTACAGTACTGCACAGTATCGGGGTATCCTCCAATGTACAGTATGTATACCTGATATGTGAAAATTTGTTAAGAAAGTCACATTTCGGTGTCACAGCTCTTTGTTTTATACAAAATGAAACATTCACTTTAATGACTAATAATCCTACTTTACACCCCTTAGTCCTTCATACAAACACAAACGTTTGCTGTGACGGTAACAATGACATTTTGATGCCCTTTTTCCTATACAGGATGAAAACTTCACTTTATTAAACGTTATGCAAAAGGAAAAATTCAAATCACGCGCACATGAATACTATTGACTACCACAAGGTCAAAATGGCTACCCAGGATGCATAGAGATGCTGTTAAACTCTACTCCATTAAGGTACAGTATAATTCAGGTAAAAAAAAAATGTTACTTTGCTATTATTTTTACAGGACTTATAGTGGTGAACGTTTTGTGAAAAAATCTCCAGTTGACCAACATTTTCCCTCCCTGAAACGTAACTCCTAATATTACGTCTACCATTCATCATACGACTACTTTCATGGGACGCCCAATAATACATATGGTAAATTCTACCATTCAATATACGACTTTCCGCTGAACAAATGGATTTCCAAGAGCGCAACCCCTTCAAATACCTCTATAGACTTGCCTAAATAGTGCACTTTAAGGGGCTTGAACAGTTTTATAAAATCACCCCCTGCAAATCTGTAATAAAACCTTGGTAAATGTAACATTCTAGTACTACAGTACTGTGACTAGGCATTGGAAGGGTCTAAATTTGCAGATACTCAATATCAAATCACGAATTAGTTTAATTGATTTAAATTGAAATAATTAGTTAGGTTCCAGAGGCTCCCAAAATACCCAAACCTACCTTAATAAACACTAAACATTATACAAAGTACATAACAATATACAGAAACACAGATATTGTACAAAAAGTATTTCTATATCAATAAATCACCTAGGGTTGAGTGTAGGATTGATTTATTTTTTAATCTACTTCATAACCTAACGATTATTTTAATAACCCGGTACCAAATGAAACTAAATGGTGTGGTTATTATGGTGAAATTGTATAATGTTGTATATTAACGAGGTCAGAGGGGGTGCCGAATGTGTGGTAACCGGGGGGGGCGCCAGTCCACCAGCTGGTAAACTGAAAGTTACTGGAAGACCTCTAGCAGCTTCAGGAGTTGTCAAGGGAATGGCTGCCAACAGGATGAAGACGCAGCATTAACTTAAACTAAATGTGTAAAAGACCTGGGTATTTATGTTGACAATGAACTGAAGTTTCCAGATCATTGCGAGGTGAATCAGGCAAATAAACTAGTAAGGCTATACAATGATCATACACATACCTATGTGAGATTCTTCAAGAGCAGGGACCATTTTGGTGGTCCTCCTTTAGATGTTCTCAATCAAATCGCAGTCTTTAGCATACCCCAGGAACCAGACAGAATGAAAGTAGTTCAAGTGGGGGCACACCACTCTTTTAGAGATGGTTATGAGAGAAGGACCATCTAGGTGTGTGTTTAAAATCTTAGTACAGTACCTATCTCTCCTAGAATGTAGTTGGAACAGGGATAGTAAAAAGCTCAAGGGAATACCAAGAGGCAAAGTACAGGGCTATAAGCTACAAGTATTGTTCTCTTCAGGAGCCTGGGGAACCAATGCTCTACGGCTTCTGATTGAATTGAGCTCCAGATTTATTGATGCCACCAAAGATTCCAACTGAATCCATTTCCTTGTTCCAGCACCTCAGGATAGTGATGCAGAGGATTGTCTGCTGCATAATGGGTTTTTGTCCTTTACCTGAGGAGCTCAAGGAAGTTTCTTTGAATCATGATTGTAATTCTTACCACAGCATGTAAGCACATGTGTATAAAATAGTATATAAAGAGAGAGATTAGAGAAAACAATATTGACTCATAGTACAGGGAAAATGATCCCAATTATCCATGAAAGATCCTCATCTTTTCTTCACCACGACACAAAGCCAGAACCAACTGACTTAGCCATATTCTGTTTAGTTTGCATTATTGATAATACAATTTACAATAAAGATACCTCCCCCAAAATGATATCTTTTAATTAGTGTCCATGTTGTCACCAACTACCTAATAACCCAACATTAACTTTGAATAAGTCTGTTAAAAAATCCTGAAATATAAGCCTTTGCATTAATATAACAACATAAATACAGTTCTGAACACTGTAATATCATAAACATTTTTTCTTCCATGTGCACTTTTTGATGCAAGTTATTTTATCACTCACAACAAGGCAGTTTCATTACCAAGACAGGCCAATTCACACAAAATTCACATTAAGAAGGATTGTTCTGGTTGCTTCAGGTTCTGTACCGAGTAATATTTTGTTTTGTAAACTTCGGGATAAAAATTATGAATGAATATGGGATAATCTTTTCAGTTTGATACATAGTATAGAGGCAAGTCATCTGAAAATAATTTACACACTTATGAAGCTTAACAAATATGTAGGTGATACAGTATTCATTTACCCCTAAAAAAAGTACTATGCCTCTATACTGTGCTTCAAATATTTCCCATAAGGTTTTACAAGGAAAGGGATTCACTCCAAAATACAAGCAATAATCCTATTAATTTCTGCCTGGGTTATCAATGGCAAATACCAAATGGATATATAGCACTTGGATTTAAGGAAGGTGTAAATGTCAAAACACTTAGGCAGACATTATGAAGCTGCATGAGGGAAGGTATGACACAATACTGTACATGCTCCGCTCCATCACACCCAAATTACATGCAAAAGAAAACTACTATCATTAAGATTTCCTTTATTCAAATACTTCTTTTGTAATGTATTAACAAAACCCGACAATCTTTTCACATAGTTAAATTGACTATTATTTCACGTCTGCTTTAAGTTAATAACTTGTTATATGTTATTCCATAACACCCTTGAATTTGAGGGCCACTTTTAGGGAACATGCTTGAATGTGTATAATATATATACCTGTATACATATACTGTACAGTGTATATATATACAGTTTTTCTGACTGGACAGCACAAGAAATATTGCATAAATCAATTGGTAATTTACAAGTTTTCTCCAGAATTTGACTCAATGTCCTTAGTTATGTTTTTAGAAAACTTACTCAAACTTCCAGAGCCAAACAATAAAGTATTAAAAGTAACCAAATAACCATTTCAACACTACAAAATCAATAAAGGAATGTTAGAAACTCCTAAATAACATGTGAATAAATATACAAAGCATTTGGTAATACAGTTACCATAGTAGATCTGTAATTAAAATAATTTATATTCCTAAGAATATTATACAGTATATATCTATATAAAAGAAAATTAACTGACAATATAACAAGTAATATGCAATGCATGTGAAGACATATAGACAAAAACTTACAGTAGACAGATTAATGTGATGCTGGAAAAAAAATTATAATGTGTCACACAACACCAATAACTTAAGGTAAACTGTCATAACCTTATTAGAGAAAAACATTCCTATTTTTAAATTGAAATCCATTTTATCTGAGGACTAATAAGTGAAAGTAAGGCATATATACCATAAAGTTAATTCCAATAACCTTTTATCACAAGCAAAAAAAAAAAAAAAAAACTCAGTGCACATACCATCACAATAGCTTTCATGTATGTTATGAGATTTATAAAAAAAAAAATCTCAAATGCATATTCAGGAACAAAATTAGCATATTATAGGGTGTATACACAATACTGTTTAAATAATATACGTACAGTATAAGTCTGCCTACTGATTAATAGTAAGAAAAAACAATGGTACTAAGGAACTATTGGATATATATCTATGTATCACATAAATTAAATTCAAATAACATTAGATTTTGATCATATTTAGAAAAAAATACATTAATGTACACACTTTCCTTGTATTTTTTTAAAAGAATTAACAGTTGTATTCATAATGAGGGGCTGTCAAATATATCACAGTATAAGATCATTGTTTACAAGACATAGTACTGTATATAATGTAATGGTAAATAAAAATAATTAACAACAGCTAATATACAGTACTACAGAATAACTATTAAAAATTCTTCCTAAGGATAGATGAATAGATATCATGATACTGTATATACACATTGTCAGGCTGAAGACCCTGACAATCTGCCTGGACAACAGGGAAGTAGACAT